TTCAACGAGCCCCAGTGGATTTCTGCTTTGCATAGAATAGTATAGATTGATCTCTTAACAATCCCCTTAAACACTTGCCATTTGTTGGAAATAATTTCTAATGGAGTAAAAAATGGTTACAATTAAAACCTGAAAAAAAAAATAACGGTGCAAAATGAGTTAACTGTGTGCTCTAGGTATTTTTTCATGTCCCTCAATTTATATACAGTATTTTTATTAAAATATGTAACTTCTGCACAGTGTCCAGAAAAAATATAAATAATTTTGACCTTATGTGAAATTACTGAATGAAATCTAACGTGTACAATTCAAACAGAAAATTTTCCTAACTTGTATATTTAGATTTTTATATTATGTGTATTTCTTTAATCTGGAATTCTGTCCTTTTCCTTCCTTCTTGATACTATATAAAGTTATAGAGTAAACCTCTCCATCACTTTAGGAATGCTTAACACAATTCCCTGGCTCTTATCTATAAAAAGCAGGCCCATGGTACACAGTGTTTTGTCAAAATCACCAAGAATAAATGTGTAAATTGTAGCCATCACTCAGAGAAAACACTCTTGATCATGTGCAAATGGCTCTCCCACAGTTCCTAAACTGATCACCTTTTATTGTAAGGATCCTAAATGGTAGACTGAAGGAAGCATCACACTTTACATGCCAGTAAGAGTTTACTAAGCTACCTGTGCCAGCGTATCTGCAGCAGGATCCACTTTCAAAGGCATTTTAAAAGACTCACCTACTCCCAGTGGACCTTTTTTAAAATGCAGTAAATTAAAGTAGTTGAAAACCAATTAATTAGCACCAATTTCATCTTGGGAGAGAGAGAAAGGCAAAGCAGAGCACATCAGGACTCAGATTACCTCTCTTCCTAGAACCAAGAAAACATAATGCACACAAATTAGTTCTTCGTAGATGTCCCTGCCAAAACCTTCTGTTCCTGAACAAGGACAGTCCAATCCACAGCTTCTCCTCAGGTCTCACACAGCCACCTCCTCCTGCAGATGCAGCCAGGGAAATGGCTAGTGTGTTCTGCACAGACCTGAGTATTCACTGGAGCCAGTTTCAGATCTGAGGAGATGGATGTCAAATTCAATTGCTGCAATAAACAAATCCAACATGCAGATTCAATCCTGACACTTTTCCTCCCCCTTTAAACAAAGCTGACCCATACTTTTTTTTCTTCTTATGGGCCCTCAGCATCTATACAGAATGGAAAATGACTGAGCAATTTGCCCTATATAAACCTTTCTCAGAATGCTCTATGAACAGAAATACTGTGAACAGTTATCACCCAAAATTAAAGGAGCCCACAAAAAAAACCCAAACACTTCTGACTTATAAATGGGCCAAACATTTTATGCAAACAGTTATTAATAAAACTGGGCATCATGTGTTATTTTCTGTATTAAATGCAGATACTAAAGAAAGCTATTTCAAGGTTGTTTGATTATGTAATTTTATTCAAACTGTATTAAATTATGTATTTAATATGTATACTGTAACTTTTTATAACTGTATTTAAAAGACCCAAAGAGGAGTTAGTTATCCAGAACACATACTTAATATACAATACTTGAAGCAACAAATATAGCAACACATCTGACAAAAGCCCCTTTGGGCGAGTTGCACATGTGTAAGCAGATTGCTGCAGATTGGATTTGACTCTCAACCAAGCTTGCAAGATGACAGAGAATTAACCTTTAAATCCACCTTCTTACCTAAAGAAGCCTTCATTCAAGGCTACATTTATTTCTACCTCAAGGACACACTAAATATGTCCTTGTACTGTCATCTATTATGTAAGTACAGACTGTTTAAAATGTAATTATGTTAAGTAATACTTGTAAATAGAGTTCTCAACTTATTCATATGAGTGCATGTAAAATGTTCATAAATACACTGCAACCATCTCTGCTGTTACATCTTCCACATCAAACACTTACTATAAATACTTTCTATAAATATATCTACAGTGAGAAGTACTTATCAAAAATATATTTTATACAACATTAACTTTCCTCAGATTGACATGAAAATTTAATTATGAAAAAGTTTGTCCTTTGTATCCCAACTAATTTTCACCTGACAAAAAAAACCAAATAGCCACTGTACCTAGGCATGTGCAGATTGTTTCTCTGGAAACATAACTGAGAGAATGTTTAAATTGGATTGCAACTGGAAGAGGAAGATGAATCCAGTAATTTCTTAAGCAAAACACATGCTTTACTTGTATATTTAGAATTACACTTTAAAGGAGGATTAACAGTCAATCAATGGATAGGAGATCAGAAGCCACAGATAACACAGAAGTCACGTGTACACCTCCAGCAGAAAGCCACACATCATTTATTGCATCAAAAATTTCACCGACCAACCAAATCTTTGTAAGTGGAATTGTAAGACATATCCTGTTATAACTAAAATTTAAACCAATGATACAATAAACTGAACTTTTCAAAGGATTAGGGGAAACATTTCAGATATGATTTATTTATTCAAGCAGAAAACACATTGGGTAAAATTTGAACTTCTCCAACAGCATTTGAAAATACTTACAGAGACTAATACCTGAATGTTAAAGTCTACATGACCAATAAATTTAAAGCTATTAACTCTTGCTTAATAAATTAAAAATATGACTATATCACAGTGTATGGCTTTAAACCACTCACAGAATCTTCCAAAATGCTCTTTTACAAAAATCTGGCAATGACTGAAGTTTGGGATGAAATAAAAAGCAGTGAACCTCCAAGATGTTATCTCAATAAACTATGTTCTTGTTTGTTTAAGTTTGGGTGCCATGTATCTTTTGCACTGACCTGAAAAGATTATTTCTCTTGTTTCATGAGTGTGCAGCCTACCACAAGAAAAAGAAAGTTTTTAGACTGGAAGCCTTCTACAAAGATAATGTGCCCAAATGGTTCATAGGAGTGACTGTCGAAGAGGTATGTTGGCAGAAAGAGGTCTCTGGCAAATTCTGACTGGATTTCCAGACTTCCATCTTGGCAGTTCATGAAGAAAATTAGCCTACATCAGTTTCAAGTTTTAGAGAAACAAGCCTTGAAAATAATCATCAAACTCCTCCTCCCTGTAAGAACAACAAAGAAAGTCAAAGACAGTTCTGCTGTGGATTTGTACTTAGGAAATAATCTTTGTATGAAAAACGTTTAGCAAACTTCTGACTAGAATTGTAGAAGGTTTAGATAATTTTGACTTAGTCACTACATTCCAAACCCCTTCACATTTTCCTACCTATGCAACAGCAGTGAGCTGACTGTTAGGATCTGTTTCTAAGATAACTAATAGTATCACAGGGAGTAAGGCAGCAGTGGTATGAGAGTGGCTTGACAAAGGTTTTACTTCAGAGTTGTGTCTTTTCTTTACAAACATATTCTTAGATTCACTACATGGAAAGAGGTATGACACAACTTTAAATGTCAGAATATTCACTGAAATACTTGGGAAAAATCTGTGCCTGGGCAGTTCTGAACGGACACTGTACATTGCAGGAGCTACAAGAGCAAACTAACCGTGATTTTGGATCTTGTAGAGGACCTTTCCCAAAGCCAGCACCTGAAGGACCATCTTCTGCACTGCTGTCTGAATCTGTTAAAAAATTTAAGGTGCTTATGAAATAAATTGTAAAAGAATTTATCTTCTTTTTTATTTAGATGTTATTTTGCTAGGAACAATGTTTAATTGCAACCAGGAGAATAAAAAGAACACTTCACTTTGCATAAAATGACTCTTAGATTTCATGAACTAATGTTTTAATTAAACAAGGTAACAATCATGTCAGAACACTGATCTTGACACAACAGCACGATAGCATTTTGTTTGAGATTAAATAACCACAAACCCAGAATGACAATACAGTTTCAAACAATTATATTAAATGAATAAATCATTTTACTTCTACTTAAATGATAATTTTTATCAATTGTGACTTATCAGTGAAATGGTCAGGAGTCAAAAACGATGAGAAGTATGCCCTTACCTAAAACCTCCCAATCTTCCAGTAAAACCTTCCTGACAAAACAGAGACTTTGGGCATGGTCCAGGTCATGAGAAAACTGCTTCAGGCCTTCCTGTACCTACCTGGGAAAACCTGGGGGCTGAAGACATTCTTAACAATGTCTAGCAGAGCAGAGCAATCAGTAGGAACACTCAATCCCTTCTAGACAGGCTGCATCAAGAACTGGCATGACCAAGAGATGTGGCTTGTTTCATCAAAATAAAAACTGGAATTACTGAGATACAGAGAGCACCAGTGCCTAAGGAGTCACTGAGACTCTGTGTCCACCTGCAACAGGCAGGTCTCTGCGGTACTGCAGGTGATAGCTGGAAAAGACTTTCATTAAAGCCTAGGATTTATTTAAAATCCATTCTTTTTTTTGAGCAGAGCACACATCAGTGTAATTCCCTGAGAAGAAATGTAGTAGTTCCTCTATCAGAAAAGTCCATTCTTTGCCCAGCACAGATTATGCAGCACATATTTGCATACCTGGACTCAAGTAATTATTAACACCCTCTGCTCTTTTTTAGAACAACCTGACCTCTCATTTTACTGATTACTTCCATCCTGTTATCTGCCCACATTTTCATTCTTTGCTTAAACAATTTCCTTCTTAAAATTACCTACAGTTTTTCTGCAAGAAGTATAAGCAATTAATTTGATCCTTCACATTTCCGTTTGTTTTCATACAGCATTTTTATCTTGCAAAACATTAAACCAGCCAGCTAATAAAACTAATACCAGTGATAAATGTCTATGAAATCATACAGAAACATAAAACACAGAAGGTATTCAAATCCCTTCCCTTTATCAGAATTACCTGAATCTTCTGAAGAAACCTCATCTGTAAAGAAACACCAAAACAGAAAAATAATAGTAAGGCTATCTTGGTTTTATCTGTTATCTTAAATTGTTCACGAGGATGTTTCTACCAGAAATATCACACACAAGCATGTGCACATGCACACGCACACATCACACAGTCAGAGACAGCAAACACTGAAGTAAAAGGATTTTCTTTTGCATGAGAACAAAGGTCATCAGCTTGAGCTCAATTATGTTATCCTGAACTCTGTGGTGTAAAAAGGTTATCTAATATTTCCAAAAGGCTTCCAACCCCAAAGCTTCGTGGAATGAAAGGCTTCACAACCCCTTCTGGTATGCAATGGCTAATTCTCAGACAGGTTTTCCTTGCAATGTTTTGCAAAAGACTCTCCCTCTCTGCCAAATGTAAGAAATTTATCTTTTTTTGTGCATCTAGGATATTTTACCCAAGAAATGTATCTTTTTGACCACCTATGTTACAGTCGAGAAGGCTATATAACTATGTGTTACCTATGCAGCTATAGCAAAACTAAGGTTCAACCAACATTTTAATTCAATATTTAATTCAATATTTTAAGAATTGATGGATTAAACTTTAAATTTACCTTTATGCCTCTTTTTTTTGGACTTCTTTTTTGCTGAAGAAGATGATTTTACCTTCCTTTTCTTTGGCTCTTTGCCAGCTGTGCTTCTTTTCTTGTGCACCTTGACTTCTTTCCTCCTTTAAAAAGAGATGAATGTACACCTTCTCTGGTAGATGCACTTATCATAGAATCATAAAATCAGAGAATTTAAGGGTTGGAATGGACCTTACAGATCACCTAGTCCCAACCCCCTGCCCTGGGCAGGGACACCTCCCACCAGAACAGGTTGCTCAAGGCTTTATCCAACCGGGTTTTGAACACTGCCAGGGTTGGGGCAGCCACAGCCTCCCTGGGCAACCTGTGCCACTTCCTATGCAACAGCAAATCTGGATTATTTAATTCAATCAAAAAGTTGTCATTTTTTCCCAGAAATCTATCAGTAGTTAAACTGAAAAAAATTAGTTCAAAAGCAAAGTGCTATAGAAACACAAAACTCTACAGCTGAAGACAAAGGACAGGAGATGCTAAAGTCACTAAAATCACACTCATACAGTAAACCACATGAATTGGCAAATAAAGATTAAGTATGGAAAATAATTTTACAACATGCCAAATTCTTGAATTTTGGTAATTTCTTTGATTTTTCTTCTAGCAAACAATTTTGTACATAGGTAATGAGAAAAATACAGTTATTATAGGTTATAAAATATATTTTCATATTTGATAGCAACAAAACCTGAGGCAGAAGAATCTCAAAGCTAAGAAGCTGCTGCAAAGCAACAACCCACTAACACTTCCAGCATTAATTAGTTACACAGGCTTACTGTAAGAACACAGGCTAACTTTTTCCTGCTTCTTTGTAAAAAGAAGTCAATAAAATTGTTTCACAGTATTACTCTGCAACTGACAAAATGTTTGACCATGCTTATTCTGAATTCAAGTGGTGTTACAATTCTAGTTCCAAAAAATCAAGATAAATCAATCTCAGTTAGTTAATTCTCCTCCTTAATATCTGCCTACATAGTGCTCTGATAAAACTGAATATGAATTAGCTTTTAAAATGGATTAATTAACTACCAGATTGCATGATTTGTGCTACTTTAGAAAAGAAATCATTGTTTCCTAGCTCAAAGGTTTCCCTTTCATATGCTCAGCAGATAATTGTATGACTTAATTACTAAGACATGAAACTAAGTTAATGCCACATGGAGATTTAAAGAATCATGAAAACTGAGTGCAAATAGCTGTGGAATTCAGTAAGATCACAGACAGTAATTAAAAAAACCAAATAAAATCTTAATGCACACATTTTGTAGGTACAAAACACACTCTTTTTCTCTCCTATTAATAAGTGATTCTCAAAGAACAAACACTCAAATTCCAACTTTCCAAGCAGTCACTTGACTCACACATAAACCCACTATTTTTAATAAAAGGAACAGCATTCCCACTCTGAAACACAGCAAGAGGGAAGAGAAAAAACACAGTGTTTTGCATAAATGTTCAGATAAGAAAAATAATCACCGGGCTGGAATTAAGCAAATGAAACTTTTGTGGTGGTAGGGATGTGATTCTTCCACACTGAGGGTTTTGTACTTTGATAGCACAATAGCTAACTCTCCACAGTGAAAGCCAATGGCTGTGTAAGAACTCCAGAACATTTATACCATTTCAGCACAAATGAAGTTCCTAACCATCTAGCTGAAGTTTTCCCCCATCTGCTGCTCATCATAGCTGTAATCTATCAATAATTCAGCTTCATATCCTCAAAATAGTTCATTACCTGTGATGAAAGTTCAGTTTGTAGGAACATTCTGGACACAGTCCTGAAAAAGAGACCATGAGAACACTGCAGCCATATATTGATAAACATAATTAGCAAAATTTATTAATAAATACATAAAACTAGACAGAACACTATCTTTCAATTTCAGCAGCTTTTCCTTCAAAACAGTAGTTACAGTGTAATTGCAGTCAGGATTGAAAAAAATACTGTGATGAGTCTTCAGTGCAAATCCAGATTTGACCAAACCTGGAGAAAGATCACAGGTTTAGCACTGACAACTCTTTGTTAAAAAAGTATCAGTGCTTATCATGTCCAGACATCCCATTTTATGGATCTTAGTGGACAGAACAAGTTGTTTTACAATTCTACTGAAGAGCCATAAATCTCTCAGAGCTTTGGCAGAGACCAAGTGCTCCCATATGGAGTGTCTTGTGCACAGAAGAGCAAAACCACCATTAGGTTGTGTCACATAAAGTAACTGTGTAAACTGTGGTGACTTACTCAATTTCACAAGGGCATTCCTCTTTTCACCATGTTCAACATAGCCAAAATTCACCTCCCAGCTCTTCAGGCCTTCATTCTCCTCACAGTGCTTATTTCCACAGGAAAACTGACCTGCAAAGGGGTCAAAACCAGCAAAGTGTGGTTCAAGGATTAACATGCATAGGCTTGGTGTTATTATTTCCAGTTTTACTCAGTTTTTGCTTTTTGTTTTCCATTTCTTTCAAATAAAAAACCACACAAATGTAAAAGTAACACCTAGATTAAGGAAACAATAACAGAAAACAACATCAATCAATTGTGCTTGTCTAATATTGCCTATCTGCAAAAGGAAAAACATAACTTGAACTGTGTTTTGAAATGTATGGATGAAGGCATATGTTATGAAATAATAAGCCTAATGCTGAACTCTGAAAAAATGAATGTCATTAGGATACATTCTGTACCCTAAACGTTACTTAGCAGAGGATGATGGATCAGGAGGTGTGATTCAGACATGCATCTTTAATGACATCAGACTATCCAAAGAATCATGTCTGCACAAAATGAAGATGTCCATGTTGTTATTACCTAACTAGATTATCTGATATGCTGGACATACAATTTGTATTCTAATGACTGTCCACAAACACCTTTCTTTTAAGAAAAGGAAATCAGATATTGTGAGTGATGATACGTCAGCTTTTAAAGTTTAATTTGGTTCATTATATGAAAAGCCACAGTGATTATAAAACAATCTGCATATAATCAGTGTTGTTTACACCACTGAGCTCCAAATATTGGAGTAATAAAGAGCTGTACATTCCATTTGCAGAAGTCTGATTTGTATGCAGAGCTGGCAGAAAGGATGTGTATTAATAGGCTCACAAGCAGGACTGCTGGTGAACGATTAACCTCAGAAAATTCTGCTTAAGCTGCTAACTGGTGGATTGGCAGTGTCCTCAGATACTTCAGTTCTGCAATGAAACACCACTTGCAATGCAAACATTTGAAGTAAAAATAACCCCAGGCCTCCCATTTAAACCAAAAGTTTCAAATTAATAGACATTAAATCTGTCTAATCCTATGTAAGGTATGGCTATCAGTACCCCGTGTCATCAGCAATCTTCAACACAACCTCCTTTCACAACACCTATGGCAAAAGGCTGGGATGAGAAATGAAAGAAGCAAAAGTAATTATTTGGCAGTTACAATTAGAAGTGATACCTCTCCTTTCACTTCTGAAAGACAGACCTCAAAAGCAAAACAACCAAATGTGAGCAACCCATTCCTACATTCCCATTGTAACACACCCCAAACCATAGCACAGCTGACAGTGGTTCTCATCACCACCACTACTGACACAGCTGAAATAAGTACACACGATGTCAGTTATCAGACAGGTAGGTATTAATGCTTTATTACATTTAATTAAAGCAATTTGTATTGCTGATTTACACTTAAAAACAGCATTAAAGAGCCACCCGCGAGAGGATTGGGTTCTCGCTCCCCCTCGTGGTGAAAGGGGGTGGTTTATCAGTTCTGATAATCCACCTGTTCCCTTTCCATTGAGATTCCATTAACAAAAAGCTTTGAACATTCAATTCTGCACTTCCTCCCATATGTTAAAATTTGGAACACAGATATTAAAAGTACAATTCAGCCTTAAGTTCCTTTTTCCCCCATGAAGACAAAAAACATTTATTTCTCATTTAACTTTATCTTGTTAAAGCATTCGATAAATCATGTAACTGTACCAAATGTAACTGTTAAAATAATCTGTCATGCTGAATGCAACACATGACTACAAGTACCTTTAGAAGCTTTAGTCTTTATAGCTTAAAACTCCCAACATTGATGTTCACACTTCCTAGTCATACAATCATAGAATCAAAGTTGGAGGAGACCTCTAAGATCAAGTCGAACCACTAACCTGTCACATATGTGTGAGAAATATTTACTTTTTTAACAAAGCATAAATGCATTTCTAACTTTTTGTAATTTGTTGTAATAGAGCTGTTTACAGAATACAGCTGTGTACACAGCTGTACCTGAGAGATACTGATCAACAGGATCACTCCATGCTGTCTTTTTGCATGTGCATCCAAGACTTCTGAAAACCAGATGTGTATGAGGATCCACCCACAGGAACAGCAACAGATTCACCTCATTTTCTTGCTTGTTCAGTGCCCTGAAACAGCCCAAGCACCTAGGCCATGGAACAAGGAGCACTGTGCAACATCCCAGCAACACACTGCTAAGCATTCACACACAGAAGCATCCAGATTAAGCTACCGATTTAGAAACAGAATTGGGAGATTTTGTAACCATTCCCACTGATTCCCACTGAACCAATTTAGGCTAAAACAGCCATTACACAGGAAACTTTATTAAGAAGTGAACATTTTGCAGAACAGCATTGAGGAACTCTTAATAAATAATTTCCTGAGGAAAAGTACTGAGAGGCTTCAATTAAAGGTTACCTAATGAGGTAACACAAGTACTGGAGAAAAAGAGCTAAAAAGCACATCCAAGAAATTCTACATTATCAGATGTATTATGGTGGTGTTCATTACAAATCTGACCTTGTGAAAACAACCCATATGTCCTGTTAATTTTAATATATGCAGGTCAGTGTGTACTCTAGACCTACGTGGCATAAACCAGCAAAGTTGGAAGTTAAGTTATCATCTGTTATTATCTGACAAACTTACCAGTATTGTCAAATGCTGTCTAACAAAATGATGTCCAAAAGCAGCAAGAAAAGCATCAAGAAGTAATGTAAGGTAAAATGAAAGACAGTATTACCTTTTCCTGAGATTACTTCTTGCTCATGTCTCCATCTAAATCCGAACTGTTAAGACAAGAACCCAAATTAAGCCGTGAACAGTCAATGTATTCAGTACTGTAAAGACTAATTTCAGTTGATTTATGCCCTGCACGTGGTTCATCCATTCAATTCTGGTCAGGAAAATTTAATTTATTTCCCTGTTAATTAAGAATATCTCTCTGCCTCTGCTCATCAGAATGATTCCCATCTACACATGCAATTCAAATTCCAGTAGATGCTGTTTGGTACCAAACAGCAACTTCCTCAAAAGCTTCATAGCAGGCAGAAGAACAAAAAGAAATCAGGATAGACTGACTTTATTAAATACTTCATTGCAAATTTGTCCACAGTGAAAACTGAGCAGAGAATTGGAATACTGGAAAATCGTATTAGCACATATCAATGAGTTGCTTCTTACTCCCTAAAGACTAAGACAAAAAAGAGCCCAACCAACAACTCAGTCGTATTTCTCTTTACATTGCCTAGAAATTCACATGGAGACAATCCATCTACTGTTTTTGTTTTCCAGTAGAATCTGCTTCATCCTCTCAAAATGGCAAGTAGCCTAGCGAAAAGACTGAAGATGGAAGGGTGTGAGAACCTGGGAAAAACAATTTCCACTAACAAGTAGAAAGAGAGGATAAAACTGGGATGCACTTTTGCCAAAAAGGGTTATTCTTGTATTGTCAATGAAAACGCATGAATACTGCAAGACAGGATAAAATTGCTGCTCTGCAAGCAAAGCACAGAAGATTCTGAATTTCATGTTAAAAGAGGTGGAAGGAAGAATGGGGAAGAAAGAAGGGGTACAAAATCCAAGAGGCACAAAAATGGCTGCAAAGTCCATCTTTGGCACCTGAATTTCAAAGCATCCTTTGGAAAATGAACCTTCCCTTGGTGCACTCATAGACTGAACCCACACAAATGTGCATTTTATAGATGCAGTGGCATGTATTCTGCAATATACTGGATTGATTTTCAATGGTTTTAATCTAATTTTAAACACTTTGTCCAGAAGCACAGGTATCTCTTCCTGTGCGTGGTGTTTAATGCTGTTGATTTTGTAATAAACCAAGTAATTCCTTATCTGAAGGGCAACAGCATGCAGTTCTCATGCATGAAATGGTATGTCATTCCAAGAACAGCAGAAAAAGGAGGGAAACAAAAGGTAACAATCCCAGAAGAAGATGAGGGTCTGCAGTCATACTGTGCATGACAACAGTTTGCTTAGGCTGGATGGGGTTGTGCTTGGCCTATGCTACACGTCTGCAGTGTGGTCGGTCTAAAGTAGCACTGCACCACTCAGGCTTCAGTCAAACAAAAAATTAACCAACTGTAGAAACCAAGAAATGTGCCAAACACTTCAGTGAGGACAGGATGCAAATGTAGCATTCCTGATAGGAACCAGCTGATTCAAATAGTGATGGTAATGTTTTTGCTCTTTTAAAGAATATTTGCTGTTTTACAGGGTGTTCTAGTTCTGAAAAGCTTGTGATATGACTGGAAAATATTGCAAGCTTATGATTAAAGGATTTGGCACCAATTTTGCATGTGTGTGCTGCTGGCAATAAAGAGTAAAAACAAGTCAATGTTATCTGCATGTTTGCTTTTTCATAGTCCATCTGCTGCTTCACCAGTCACCAAGTTATCCATGCTCACTTTTGCTAATGAAGTCGACTTTGGTACAAATTTCCCCTCACAGTCTGAACCTGACTCAAAAAGGTATAAACCAGATTATATGCTTACAGTGTATTTCTGTAATGCTATAAAAAAAAGCAAATTAAAAGGAGGAGCCATAGCCATCTGTAGTACATATAAAAGACAAATGTTGTCCTTATCTGCATTCATTTTTGTCATTCTTCCACCAACTAATGGAAAATGACAGAGAGAGACCAAGGCTAAGCAGAAAGAATAAAATAAAAAGTAAATACAATTGAATTCCTCTAAGCTAAAATATCAGAAACATTAAAATATATAGGGAAATTAAAAATTAGGGAAGGCTCTTGCAGTCAGCCAGCAATATTAAGAAATGCAAAAGCACTGTCAGCATTTATCCTACCTCATCTTCATGATAAATGAATCCAACAAGACCCTAAATGAGCTATTGCTACAAGGTAGACCAAGCAGATGCCTAGTAAGAGTTTCAAATGGCTACTTTTATGAGAAATTATAATTTTAAAGATATGAAAGACTGCTTAATATCCATAAACAATAAAATTCCTAAATCAAATAGGGACTGCTTGTGAAATAGGCATAGGCTGCAGCAACAACTAACACGACCACAGTCATCTCTTTCAGAATAAAAGAAATGTGTGAATTTAGACAATGCTGGAAAAATACCACAGGTATTTTAAATATTTTTATTTTCACAGGAAAGCCTCCATACTGAAAAACAATGACAAAAGCAAACCTATTAACATTTCCAAATGGAAGACAAGTTGGCCTCGAAATCTGGAAATAAAACCAAAAAAATGAAATGTATTCTATTTAATGACCAGGTGTCAAACAGATTTCATTTCTTAGCAAATAGGAGACATTTCCAATCTGCTAAGCTACAAAACAAAGCACAGAGACAGCAAGTAAGATCTTTTCTAGGAAAATAACACAATAGAGAGAACGTTTCTAGTCCATTGCATATCAAAGTAAAACTTAGATGCAGAGCAGCTTCCCTTACTGCATTGCAAAACTGACAATAGAACTAAACTACCTGACAATACAGACGGTCATACATCAGCCTCAGAGCTAGCAGACAAGATGCACTGCAGGTTCAAAAACAACCTTGACCTAAAAAATTCTTATCCACAGAAAATGCAAGGAGTAACAGACCCATCACAATGAAGACCTGTCACAGCACCTCTTCCACTGTCTCTAAGTAGCCTCACACCAGAGGTTCACATTGGCATTTCTGATTGAAACAAAGAGATTGTATGTCATAATTACACAATGAAAAGTGGGAGCATGGGTCACAGGGTCCTATCTGCCTGCAGTGCCAGGGGGTTGGAGAGAGGTGGGGGATGGTCTCTCCTGCCACACCTGAAGTGAGAGGACTAGAGGGAATGGCCTTGAGCTGAGACAGGGGAGATTCAGTTTGGATATTAGGAAAAAAATTTTTACTGTTAGGGTGCTCAGGCACTGGAATAGGTTGCCCAGGGAGGTGGTGGAGTCACCATCCCTGGAAGTGTTTAAGAGGCATCTGGATCTGGTGCTGGAGGATATGGGTTAGGGGTTACAGCAGAGACAGGTTAACAGTTAGACTTGATCTCAGAGGTATCCTCCAACCTTGATGATTCTATGATTCTATGAAGTGCAAGTGTACAAGTGAGTGTGTGAACAGCAGTGAGGATCAGCTAGGTGAAGTGGTCTGGGAGCAGGGAGGGTGAGTGAGTCTCCACCAGTCTGCTCTGGTAAGCACCTGTGTATGTCTATGGATGACAGCACAGGGGGTTTGCTGTCAGACTAGGGGAGTTCCAGCCACTTGGGTGTGTGTATGTGGGTGAAACAGTCTGAACCAGCAACTGGAATGTGGCTGTGGCCTTGGGGTTCATATTTCTTTGGGTTTTTTGCTGTTTTCTTAGGAGCTTCAGTCTTTGACAAGGTGCTCTGCTTATTTTTCAGACTTCAAGAGAGATGCTCCCACAAAACTGCACCTTATCATTATCCAGTACTTGGGAAAACAGTGGCTTTTTCTCAGAAGAAAAGTTCCAAAAGAGATCTGAGCTACCAGCTCTATGCAGAGATCTTTAGAAAAATCATCTGACTATAAGATTTTGGCTAGAAGCAGAACAATTGCAGCTGTGAAAAGACAGATGAGCACTTATGTGCAAGTCTCAATCTGTACAATATAGATATTTAAAACATCACAGAAAACTGATCTCCAACTTCACTTTGACACCAACCAGCAGGATATAGAATCACTGAATCAAAGAACAGCCCTGGCTGGAAGGCACTTAACAGACCACCTGGTTCAACCATTCCTGGGAAAGGGAGCCCAGATGAAAGTATCTAACACCCTGTGCAATTGCACCTGAAAAACCTTCAGTGATGAGGACTCCACTGTGCCACTGGGGAGGTTGTTCCAGTGAATGGATGTTCTCACTGTAAAAAATTTCTTTCTTGTATCAAGATAAAGCATCATCATATAAAGCATCAACAACTATCATACAAAAGGTTGGCCAGCTGAGAAGCTTATCTACCCTGCATCTCTCATAGCACCAGCACTGCAAAACAGAAGGCACAAGGGGCTAAAGATACCCAACTTCTAGTTTCTCAAAATGCAGAAAAAAAAATCAAGGCAGGAAAAATCTGAAAACACAGACTGCATTCCGTTGGTGTAAGAGATCAGCAGCCCATTTCAGACTTCCAGGATAAAAGCCTGCTTTGAAATCCCTCTGTCCCCAACAAGGGTATGGATAAATCAATAACTGAGAAAAATCTCATATTTTTTTCTGGTTTTGTAAGAATTTTTAAGAAAGGACTTTCATATGACCAGATAGTATTGAGAACAGAAAGCATAAATATTTTACCAATTGCATGACGCAGCAGAGTTCTGCTGATATGGCAATTCCAAACATATAGGTAATGATTTATGAGCATAAACAAGAATTGCAAGTGACCTCACAGTTAGGACACCCATACCTGAAGTCTGACATGGCAATACTGTTCACACAACACACACATCACCCCCACCCTCCCCAAAAAAAAAAAAAAAAAGAAAAAAGAATCTGGGGCAGAACAGTTTCCCACAAAAGATAGCAAACATATGGAAACTTGGCACAGGAGTGAAAGAAACAAAATCTGTGAGCATGCTCCAGGGGGATCAGTTGAGGGGTCAGGGCAGACATTGAGGGATATGAAACAGCTACAGGAAAATAAAATCAAATTTACGCACCCATAAAAAATGGAGGGAAAGCATATTCAGCATTTTAATTTTTGTTAATCTTAATAGAATTTTTGCATTTTACTGTTCCAGTTGTCTTTAGATGACTGCCATCTTTTCTACCTAATATTAAGTCCAGTCTTTGCAACTATTTACCAGAGAATGCAATTTTCAATGCTACAAGTAGCCTAAAAGAACTATATAAACAGTTTGCACTGTGGGTTACTGTGTGCTAACAACACCAAGACATATCTGAGTTCAGAAACATTCTTTGCAAAATCACTAAATTCATGTATACTCTGACTAAGGAGTTAGTCAGTTAAAAACCTGGAAACAACAAAGGCTGTTCCAGTTAAGCAGAAAACCGGGTGCTGGAATTGGGCTGTTTCTCTTAAGAAATTCTATTTATTTACAAGGCACATTCAAATCCTGTTTCCATAAACAGAAAAGAACAACTAGCAAAAGAGGCTGCTTTGAAATAGACTTTTCCAAAATTGTTTCTGCCAACATTCAAGTACAAAACTCTCTTTAGACTTTTATTTTTGTTTTTAACAGTAACATTGCAGGGTTTTTTAGGCTTCATCTATTGCTCCTCTCCAAGCAACCTCTCTAGCCTTCTTTCTTCAGCCCCTTTGCCTTTTCTGCCTTTTTCACTCACAATGTACCTCTTCATAAAACACCATCTGACAGAAATGCTCCTATTCCCACAGAAGCACATTTTTTGGGCCAGTGACAATGCTTGGATTCAAACTGCTGCTGCTTATTGAGTAACTTGACAAATTCTCACAACTCTCTGTCCAGGGAAGGGGAACTAACATTCTGCTTTCACAGCACAGCCACAATCATAAGGCAATTCCAGAAAAGGAAATACTTTAAAACCAAGATGATTTACAATAATGAATCATACCTTGTTCTCTTTGTATCGGCTGAGATCTGCTATGCAGTATTCTTTGTACAATTTATCATAATACTTCTTTGCAAGCCTCTTCTCCCTATAACAAAAGGTATTAGATTTTATTAAATGCAGAACATGATACAATTCACTTTACATTGTAATGGCATTAGCAAGACAAAGTGATGTTGTTTCATACAAAAACCACAAGTTGCAGAGCTAGAACGGCAACAGATACGCACTCATTAAACTAAGAATAATTTCCATAAGACTGGAAAAATGCATATAAAATAAACCCACAGTACATACTGTATTTTTTCAAACTAAGGTTTCTTCAGTTTTGATAACAGCCATTTGCATCTCAGAGAATACACAATTATTTACTGGCTCTGCCATCAATTCATGTTGCCACTTGAGCAATATCCAAATATGAAAGGTCTCCTAATGGTCTTTCATTTTCAAATGCATTGAAGATCAAAGAATGATCACTAAGTATGCACTGTAATTAGTACAGGACACCACAGATTTAGTACAAGTGATCTAAAAATAACATGTTCTGTAATAGCTTCAGGTACCAGTTCATGTCTTCTTCATCTTCTTCATTCCAGAGAAATCTGTGGTTCTCTCTAATAACATCCTGATCCGTCTTGTCATTTTCTCTATAAAAGGACACAGTTTTTTTTAGTACAATGCAACATTAGAATGAAAAGTCCATCAAATAACTATTTGGTAAGCATCAGTATGCCACAGCTGTGATCTCCACAGCATAAAAGAACACACTGTTATGAAATAAAACTATCAAAAAATGTATTCCCTGGCATCTGGACTCCATTTCCCAAAAAAAAAAAAAATCATGGGGAAAACCAGCCACTAAAATTGTGGATCACAGAACCAGTTAGGTTGGAATGGACAACAGTGGGTCATCTGGTCCAACCTCCCTGCTCAAGCAGGGCCATCCTAGAGCACATGGCTCAGGATTGGGTCTCTTGATGCTGTCTGAAAACACTTTTCATACTCTTTATTGAAGACAGTGATGTCAAAAGGCAGTTCTAGAAAGCTCTAAAGAAGGCTATCATTATTCTGGACAATGGATAGCAATTCTGCACATTTCAAAAGTATTTCAGACTGTTATTTTGAAGGTACTGACAGTTATTTCTCAATGTACCCTCAATTAATGCTCACCTGTCATCTTTCCTTTTACATAACAAAACAAGAACAATTCAGCTCATGGTAATATCTTTTCTAAAACTATGGAAACAAAATGAAATAAGGCAATTCTGTGGTTTGGATACTTACTGTAGATACTATTCGTGACCAAAATAATTAGCCATTTGATACACAGCCACATCCACCTCTGCCCTACCAAAGCTATAATATATATTTGACAGCTTTACATAACAGGAGAGCTCTGGGGGCATGAGGGGGAAATGTTTGCTGATGGTTCTTACCCAGACCGTCGGAAATCCTCTATTTTTCCTCCATAGTACAAAATGTAATCATGAACAAACTTTTTGTGTCTTTGATACTGAATAAGCAATTAAGGATTTTTTCAGAATTTATCTTCTTCTGCTTTACCATGGTTTAAAACTAACAGAAAACAACCAAACGCTTTTTATGTACTTAAAGACTTTTTTTTCTCAAAAATAGTTCAGTAATTTCCAGAAAGAACAGAATTAATTAGCAACTTAACCTCTCATAGAAGCTACTTTTCAAATACAGGAATTCAAGGCAATTTAGTATGTAAAACCTCATTGCGCTTCCAGGCCTTTATAAATCTGTCTTCCCATATCAGAGATGCTCTCACAAAAACTTGGCTCATTTTTTCAGCTGTAATTTAGACAACAGCTTCTCAGTACTGAACTTTTGGTTTAAAACAAGTTTGAAATTTTGTATTATAAAAACAGCCTGGCTACTAAAATGGAAGAATTTTTATCATCAGCATAAAAGCTGTATGCTTTAGTTTGGAGATGAAAATCGTGGGAAAAAATCTAATGTTTTTTAGAACACTTTAGCTTCAGAGATATAATCAGAAGCAAATTTTGTACCATAATTTGAGCAAAATATGTAATTACTTATTCATAAAATAAGTGTCTTCACAAATAAAAACATTATATATGGCTTCTTAAAAAGATTTTTCAATCAACTTGGATCTCAACAGCAAAAAGAAGCTTCTTTGAAGAATGACTCAGTATCTGGTGCTGCACTGCCAAAAAATTGGAAAAATGTTTTCCCTGTTAGGGTGTTCAGGCATTGGAATATTGCCCAGGGAGGTGGTGGAGTCATCATCCCTGGAAGTGTTTAAGAGGTCTCTTGATCTGGTGCTGGAGGATATGGTTTAGGGTTCAGGGGTTACAGCAGTGACAGGATAATGGTTGGACTTGATCTTAGACGTCTCCAACACTTATGATTCTATGATTCTAACTGCTGTGATAACTGAGAAATTCCAGTATTTAGCCATAAGGGATAACCTGTGCCTCATCTTCAACCCTGAAGGAAAATGAAACAGAAGGATACAGCATCCATCGATATCAAGTGGAATCTTCTTTTTCTTGCTTCTTCCCTGTGAATAAAAAGATGTTTCAGTGAAAGCCATCTTACATTAAAGGAGAAACGTCCCACAAAAGCAATATGTAAAAGATACCTATCACATTCTTCAGCTGCAAACTGTCTGTGAACCACTCCGCCTTGCTTGGCTTTTTGGAAGGGCTTTGCCAGAAGAGCATCTTCTTCCGTTCTAAAGGTAGGTGGGAAAAGGGAAGAAAAGTTAGTCAAGAACTTTTCACAAGCAATCAAATCTCCATATGACAAACCTTGCATTAACTTGATTAACAAAAACTGATATGTTGCTGGGTTTGGCATGAATAAAACCAAACTTCAGAACCGACATCACCTCACTTGCCAAACAAAGCCAGAAAGGCATTTGCTTACAGTTAGCATTTAAAAGAAATTGGGCAAAACAGCAATTTGTAATATTTATTTTTATCAATATTATCACTATAGAACCACAATGAAAAAACCTGGGAGACTGCTCAGTTTCACTCTGCATTGAAAGTCCTCTACAAATCTCAGCCACACAGCAAAGCAGGAACAAAAAGGACTGAGTTCACTGAATGAGAGTGACTGCTAGTAACCCCATCCCACCCTTTCATGCCAATGTCTCAACACCTCATTAAACAGCTCTGCCTCTCCTAGTGTAATCACAAGAATCACAAATTTAAAACTTAATTACCATGTTGTGAACCACACTTGTCAGCAGGCAGCTAAAAATACTTCCAGAATTCAACAAAGTAATTAAAAGTTAAATATAAAGAGATGCATTTTAGGTAGTAAAATGTATATTTAGTTATTATCATTCCTCAATAGAGATGAAGAACAGATTTTTCCATAATTATCAGCTGGCAGAAAGAATGGAAGTCAGAAACCTGAAGAAAGCAAGCCAGGGAATTTATATTTCAAGCTATGAAATACAGGACTCTAGGAACTAAGGGTATCATTTGCTCAAAAGCATCTGTAGGCACAAAATTCCCTTAAGGAGACTTCATAAAACAGCAATTTGGAGAGAACTTAAGACTATTGTTTTCCTTAAAGTGAAAATAAGTACCATCATAGAGCAAGAAAGGGATATATACATATCCAGTGAACCCACATAAGAGCTCCACTGGGAATCAGCAGCAGAGTGCCAGAATGAGGATAATAACGGTGTTTTTGAAAGGCTCCTGATGGTTAATTAATATTCCACCTAGAGAGTGGAATGGTAGAATGTGTAATGGCTTTTTAAAGAAAACAGAAACTGAACAAAACCAGTCACTGTTTTAATGCAGAACAGCTATATTATAAAATAAATGAAACAGCACAATGCCTGCTATTATTCCAGTGATTAAAACATGAAATTTCTTTCCCAGAATGCAGTCAGACACTATAAAACCCATTCTTTCAGTTCTTCTACAAAGCAAAATATGCAAAAGTGCTAGGAAAGCTTCCAGAAACATTTCTTAAATAAAGTCCAGTAACAGAGCAAGGAAGAGACAGGAAAAAATATGAAAAGTATATGTATAATGTAGGCAAAATGTTCAGTATGGTGAAGGAAGTGTCAAAGGACTACACAGTGCCAAAGCAAAATAAGTACATAAATAAAGAAACATCTTTACAATATAATGAGATCAGACTACAAAATTCCAGGTCACTACTTGTGTGAGCCACTGCAAGAACTGGCAAAGGTCATCTCAAATAAAAGATGTGCAGTTACAGTTCAAGGATTGAGTACAACACAACTCACTAATTCCCAGGTCTCTTCACAGTTAAGTATTAAACAAGTAGCTTAACTATGTAACTCTATATGCTTTTTATCTACAAAGACTGCTATGACTTGGCTTTCTTTTGCCTTGCTTTCCTAGCAGTTCCATTTGTCCTGATGGATCACAGTGAAGAGTGCTGCCAAACCCCAGCAGAGGATACTAATGCTTGGAAAAACGAAACACTCTGCTCTGAGAACTGAGGGGCACATAGACACCAGATGGAGATGGCAGAATGGATCTTAATCAGCTGCCCATAGGAGATGACAAGCTTTGGCAAGCTTGACATGAGATGGAAGAATCAAAGAGATTGATTTTTTCAAAAACCATTTCAACACCAGACTTTACATAAAACAGCATCATCTTCTCTGCACGCTGAGAGGCCATTTGCACAAAATACATAATGCAAAGTGTTAATTCTGTAATACATTACCTTTTTGGTTTTTGCAGAGACTTCTCTCCACTCTCCTCATCACTAAAATCAGAATCATAGCCTCCATGGCCACGTGCCTGAAAATAATAGACCAGTCAATAAATCTGCTAAAGTAACATGGACATGGCATAATTACAGATCAGTACTGTCCATCATGCATAAATAAAATAGGAAGACAGAGAGCAAGAGAACAAGTGCAAATTCTCACATATGTCTAAACCAAACCAAATGCAACAGACAATGCAGAGTATATTCCAAATAACACAGGGCAAAGAAAAACATCACCAGTCTGTCAGAAGATCACTTTATAAATAATTTATGTGCAGATGTCCCCATATTTAATCTTCACATAGATGCAGAAAGCCAAAAGTAAGATAAACACCTTTAGGTTTCACTTTCAAACAATGTTCCTTATGTAAGAAAAAGGTATTTTCCCCAGGAGCTAGTCTTTCAGAGTGCTGAAAGGCAGCAACTGATGTGCCCACACTATAAACACAGACAGATGGGAACAAAAGTTTCTTGGGCTGTGGCACAGCATTTTAGATCATTGGATTTTATATTGGTTGCTGGAAATCTGATTGAAGCAATAACTAAAATAAAAACCAACAATGTGCCTGCAAAAATGTACTGCCTAATCAGCACAACACTCCTGCCAGGAAACAAAATCTTGCTTTCCACACACTTTGGGACTACAATGTCAAATTAATGTATGTAAGAAAACCAAAATATCCATATTGTAATGCCTTCAAATGATCAAGCACTGACTGATGCCCAGATCTATCACCTCCACTTTTCAAGGCACAGTTCCATATCCAATTCCTTCAGCAGAAGTGATGGCTGAAGCAGATCCCATCTCCTCTCCCTCACTCGTACTCTGGTACCTTCCTTCCAGTTGCTGTTACAGTTGTGAAACTACCCACGAACCAGATCAAACAACTCACCCAAGTTACAAAGAAAACTACCAAAAAAAAGATTATTTTAACCCAGAGAAGTTTCCTGACAGTTTACCCAGAGCTCCCCCAACCAGCTACACCAGTCAACTGAAGGGGTAGCATGGGAGGAGAGCAGCCAGAGCTGAGAACTGAATAAACCAGCACAGACACCAAAAAAGCTTTTACACAACTGAGCTGAACCCAAAAGTGATGGTTATTATATATCTGCATGAGGAAAGGTTCAATACCTAAGTACCTTGGTAGGTACTAAATACAGAATCAGCAAAATAGACACATCTCAGGGTGATCTGGTTGAGGTGCCTTCTCTTGATGCAAATGTCTCCCAAAAATGCCATGCTGGAGAGTCCACTGTATCTTCTACTGACACCAACAACTGATCTGTATCATGCAGAGTATGTAAAATATTGTCTCCTCAAACTGACAGTGATAGGTTTTTAAAAGTTTTTAAAATATTTGTATTATTAATAATAAGAAACTAGTGCTGTAATGTTCCCCCTGCCTTCAAACTCTTCTGAAGAACACATAGCTCTCATATACACAGATATTTGAACAAAGGTAAATCTTACTTATTTGCCTTTATGTTTTCTATTTCCCAGGAGACATAAAACCATGTAATACCAAGAAAAAGTAGAGCAGATGCCTGGTGTAAGTGGTCCTTGTGCACTGGCAAGAGAACAGAAATGGTGCAAAGTCCCAGAGCTGAGGTAGTTCTAATAACCAGCCTGTCACTACTTTCATTAATGAGGCTTATGTGGTCTTTAGGAAAAGTTGAGTATGTTACAAGTGTGCAGCAAATATACTCGGCTTCTAAACGTAAAACTAAAATGGTAATCCAAGAATGTTTTAAATGGCAAAAGTAATGCTTCCCAGAGGAACACCGAGAGCTTCCTTCACACTTGAAAAGGGAGAAAGTTCAAGTCAACACAATGTGCATGAAAGTCAACTTGAGACAGATGAAGTACAGAAACAGGCAAGAAGAGGAAAGCTCAAATGAGATGAGATTTTCACAATGTGGTTGGCCCTGGATGATAGGCCCCAGGAAAGAAGTAGATATACTCAGTAATCAGCTCTCAACTGATTGCAGGAATGATTCAAACACAAAGGAAAAAAGACAAGAATAGCTGCTCCAACAGCCACACTGCAGGGCTCTCACAAGCTGAGGATTGCCTTTGGAAAGTAGACTGTGAATATAAGGGCAGGTATGGCAAAGGATTAGGCTGCTCTTCCAGCAGGAAAACTCTTCACAGCTTCTGACATTCTTCTGAATCACTACAATAGCTCAGAGATAATTTCAGAGTAAAAAAGAATACAACCCATGACTGATGTCCTGACACTTCTAGATCACTCCTTCGAAGTACAGCAGGGTGGGCAGGTCCTGCACTGAAGGTAGGTTTGACATCAGCAGCTCCAGCAGTGCTGGACAGCACTTTTGGAGACTGGGACTGAATAATTACTGACCTGATGCCTTAGGATAATACAAAGATGATGTGATTTTTAGGTAAAACATACCTAGTTCATTTCATGAACTACATCAAAGAATCTCATCCATAAAGGAATATTTCCATTTTGGAAGGACAATGTAAACAGATACTTGCTTAATACTGTAAAATTTCAAGGCTGATTTTTTTCCCTTCTCCACAAGAAAAACACAAGGTAGACAGACGAAATATATTTAACTGCAGCAAAAGAGGGGCAGATACCAAAGCTCTGTGCCCAAGCTAGCGGATGCAGACATAGAAGAAGGGCATGGAAAGACATTATAAGGACATGGAACTGTTGCAGCAAGTCCAGAGGAGGCCATGAAGCTGATAAGAGGACTGGAGCACCTGCCCTAGGAAGACAGGCCAAGAAAGTTGGAACTGTTTAGCCTGGAGAAGAGAAGGTTGTGTGGAGACCTCATAGCACCTTCCAGTGTCTGAAGGGGCTTCAGGGAAGCTGCAGAGAGACTCTGTAAGGAACTGCAGTGACCGGACAAGGGGTAATGGGTATAAATTGAGAAAGGGAAATTTACATTAGACATTAGGAAGAAGTTTTTTCCTGTGAGGGTGGTGAGACACTGGCACAGGTTGCCCAGGGAGGCTGTGGCTGCCCCAACCCTGGCAGTGTTCAAAGCCAGGTTGGATGAAGGCTTGAGCAGCCTGGTCTGGTGGGAAGAGTCCCTGCCCAGGGCAGGGGGCTGGACTAGATGATCTGTAAGGTCCATTCCAACCCCTTAACATACTATGGTACTACGGACATGCAAAATTTTCAAGAAAATTTAAAATAACTACTTTCATTATTCAACAAACCCTTTAATAAAATCTTTGGAATTTGTCAGAAACTCAGAATGCTTTTAGTAAATGAGTAATGTAAATACTAAGTGCTTTATCAAAAGATGAACCTGAAAGCTAAGTAATTTTAAATGGTTCATTGTAATTTGTCTGTTGCTCCAACTTTGGACTTTTTATTCCCCAACGACATAACAAACTGAAACCACAAAATTAAAACAAGTACCTGTGCGGTACATTTAGAACACTGACATTTAACTAATCCCAACATCTGGGATTAATTAACAGTGAAAGAACTGGAATCAGAACCAAATCCACTTGACTCAGGCCTACTAAAAGTCAGCAGTTTAAACACAGTGGATGTATGAACACTGTACACAGCTGATGGCAGACAGAGATACCAACTCTTGATGTCAATCAATACAGGGCACTACAGACTCTCCAGCAGTGCATTTACAGCAGGTATTTGCATCCAGAGAAGGCACATCCTTTAGGCCTCTCCGGGGGGTAAACACACCAGTGAAACTGACACATCACAGCCCATATTGACTCCTGACCACAACATACAGCTGAACACAAAAATACAGTTAAAAAAGTTTAAAAAAAAAGGCCAAACAATCCTACACAGAAAGTCACAACTCTTGGCTTCTGACTCCGGCCCTGACACTGCTACTCCCCTGATGATCATCACTCCCACCCTTCCCTGCATCTGCCCAGCACACAGGTCTGTGCTTGTGTCTGCTCACAGCCCAGACGTGGCCCAGAACAGGCAAGAGTGCTCCGTTTGGTACAAACAAACTACTCTGGGAGGGTCTGAAGGGAGTGTGGGATCTCCAAGGCAGTTTAAGGAGCCATCCTGGCAGGGCAAAGGGTGCCATGTGGAAGGTCAGAATGCTCCACTGCAACACGCTCTTCGCACCATGATGTTGTCATGGTGCGAAGGTTTTGCAACCTACACCCTGGGGGAAAAACCTGAAAGTAAGTATAATTAGAAAGAATCATAGAATTTTAGGGGTCGGAATGGACCTCATAGATCACCTAGTCCCAGTCCCCCCTGCCATGGGCAGGGACACCTCCCCACTAACTAGACCAGGTTGCTCAAGGCTTTACCCAACCTGGCTTGAAAAAATCATTATTTACATTCAAATTATTATTATTAATTCACTTCAAACCTACTCCTCCTTCCAAAACTCTTTGTTAGGAACTGCAGTGATAGGACAAGGGGCAATGGGTTGAAATTGAAGGACAGGAAATTTAGGTTAGATATTAGGAAAAAGTTTTTTCCTGTGAGGGTGGTGAGA